ACTAAATTAATTGAATTATTATTGTTTCTCTATGATCCTTTACAAAGGGCAGATAACTCAAAATTTAAAGAAAATTAGCTATTCAACTTTTCACTGAACTTATTTCAGTAAACAACATTACAATAATACTAGATAAACAATGGAAAAAGATAATGGATAAAAACTCTAATGATACTTTTTCAACCAAAAAATAATAAATAGATAATAAATTGTTACTTTTTCATACATAGGTAGGTAGATATTAATTTAGCAGGTTTAGTATTTGATAAGCTTATGTTGATTTCCTCCATTTAAATTTTGCTTGTTCCCATGCAGATGCATATCTTTATATATTAATTCTATTTGGTTAAAGAAATTTAGAATTATTTAGACTGACCATGAATTAATACCCCATTAAAAATAAAACCATTAATGTATAGTCTTACAATCAGAAAACATACACATATTCATGTGTATATGTATAATTTTATCATTACTTTGAAAAACTTTTTTTTTCAAATTATTAATCAAGCAAGAATCTACATGTAAACATTATCCAAAATGTGTAGTTAGAGATACATAAAATGTAGAAAATAGCTGTTATATAACAATTTTGAAGACAATAGAAACAGCTAGGCTTGATGTTTCCATGATTTCTCTTTACATCAGAGGTTGACCATTATGTGGTGTTGTGTCTGACCAGTCAAGAAGAATTTTAAATGGGTATGAAAAGTGATACTTGAAATAATCATCTTCATCTTTTCCCCTGGAATAAAAAAAACATATACATGTATACTTCAATTAAACATCAATTGTTTAATATCTACTACATTTTTCATGTGATAACAAATGCAAGCATAAAAACATATTATTAAAATGTATATACATGTAATTCTAAACTAGTAGTTAGTATTTACACCTCGAAATAAATTGCCTCAAAATTCCTGCATTTGTACTTAAAAAAAGCAGGCTTCATATCACTAGGTGCTTGGGGACGGGACCCCCCCCCCCCCTTCCGCGTTCCATACCCCAAGGGTTCTCCCCGACTTTTTTTATATAATAAAAATATTTTTAAAACTTTTAGTATCAGAGAGTATGAATTTTTATAAAAGGTTAGTTTAGGTTATATTTTGGATTTTTCAATTGTAATACTTTGTGAATGTGTCATAGAAAAATATTTTATATAAAAAAAAGTCGGGGAGAACCCTTGGGGTACGGAACGCGGGGGAGGGGGGGGTCCCCAAGCACCTGTTTTTCATATTTTATCGCTTTTGGCGCAGACAACAATGCGCTAATTAATGAATACCGTAAATAAATCAGAAATAAATACAATATATGGCGTAGACGTCTGTAATGCTAATTCATGATTACACTAACCACTCCATACCCAGTGATTGCGCTAAATTTTGAATACGCCAATTTATGTACACATACAGTATTTTCATTGTAGCCAATTGCAAGATAAAAGTATCTGAAACAATTTACCATCACCTACTCCAATTTGTATTTCTTTTCATAATTACTACACCCCCAGAATTTGTCAAAATCATGACTTTTATAAAAGATTTGATAAATTCATTGTGGTAGGTGGCATTAAAAAATGAAAAATGCTATTCATTTCCATATCCAGACAATTGTTATATTAAAAAAAATCACCTGCTTTTTACTGAAAATATTTCTCTGTGTATCTGTTCATCTTCTTTTTTCTTTTCAAAGCACCAGTACATCTAAAATATGTTTAAAATATTTTTTTTCAAATTTAAGAAATTCATTCTTATTGTCAATCATGAATACATACATTTACATGGGTATATTGTATTTATATCTTATTAATGTGTATATATTTTTAGCTGCAGTTAAATATTTTGTTCTTTTACAGTGAATCTGAATTGTATGACTTCTTTTTAGACTAAAAAAAAATTATGTGTTTCCGTTAAGTCGACCATCTCTAATTTTTACCCAATACACCTACTAATTTTTAAGCCAAATCAGATTTTAAACTGTACAACGTTACCAAATATATATATATATATATATATATATATATATATATATATATATATATATATATATATATATATATATATATATATATATATATATATATATATATATATATATATATATATATATATATAAATTGCCTTGTGTATATTTTTCATTACATACAAACTTACATCTTCTATAACATTCTCCTCCTTTTGATAAACTTTGTAGTTATGATTTGCCAAAGTAAGTTGCTTTCTGAAGCAAGCACAAATTCCTTTAATGCAAATATATTAATAAGATATATATCTGGAATGCCCTGCTAACATGGTGATCTTTGAATATAGACCACTTAAGTCTATTATATAAAAAGAATATTTAATTTAAAAATTATGTCAGTTTATTTGAAAAAGCTTCTAACATGTAGTATTTATAAAAAATGAATATTTGAAAACATAAAAATATATACCTGTGCCTAGGGTTGTTCTAACACTGACTGCCGTATCTTCTGCTTGTTGTTTTCCTCAAATTGTATCTTGCATTTTTCTCATGGGTTTTAGAGTACAAAGTACTTTGCCATTCACACTTGAATTCCATTTTGAAAAGTTGAAAAACACATCATTTTTCTGTTATTGATTCATATTTACTTTTCTGGCGTCTGTTTTTGCCACATGTTGTTATAAACTTCTTTAGACTTCAATACAGGAGAGTCAACAAAGGGAAATAACACCAGTTTAATTTTTTTGTTTTCAGTGCAAAAGAGTCAGGAAAGGGAAATAACTCTAGGTTAAATTTTAGGAAAAGTTATAATTTGAGGGGATTGGAATATAACTTTTAACTGATTTTCCCAACTAAATCTTTTTGCATCTTTTAGATCTAAGCTCGATCTTACTAAAAAGATCTTTTTTCTAAGTTTCAATTGCCTGCAAAAATTTATGTGGATATCAAGAAATAGGCACCTTTGTATTCATTTTTATGACAAATTCATGTAAATTGATCCGTATCATATTAAAAACCTTGGGTTAAATTGAATAAAATTTAGATGCACAGAAACTTTGATTACTTAGCTATAAAATGAAAACTATGTTATGTTCATAACTTTCCTACATTAAGGAAGCACGGAATTATTTTACATGGTTATGACAATCAGGTCAGTTTTGCCATAACAAAATATTTCAAAGTCGTTGCTATGGAAACCAAGGAGGTACTGCCCAAAATTTACCCACCAATAGTCTTTATATAGGGCACTCTCTAATATTATAGTGATAAAATAAAATTCCACGATAGTGCGTGGCCAAGCATTTTTGGTCCTTACAGAGAATTGATGTTAAAACATAAAACAGATCACCATCGCATTTTGAGAATTGTCATGAAGAGTTGGTGAACTGTTTCATGTTTTTAAATATATATGAATAGATAAAGCAAATGAGTCTCATGAAAGATGGACATTGATTGATTTTTGCAACCCCTTGCAAAATTATTTTGCTCATATGAGACATCACCAAAAACTGGTATATATAGGACTTTAAATAGACCTTTACTCAGTACTCAGGGCCATTGAGCAGCGAAGGTTCTAAAGCATGTCAACGCCAGTCATGGTCTCATCTAAAAAATCTAAACCTTCTACTTTTAACCCTAAGTGCTTTGCAAAGAAAAAGTTGCTACATATACCCTTTTTATATACTGAATTAAGTTTGTCATGACTGGGGCTTGGACCTACATGTATGACCTTCGAAATAAACTTCAATTCTTAATGTTGCTCCACCCTATCGCCTCGACTTAAGCTTGATTTGAACAAAGAATCTGCAAATACATGTACTAAGAATATTTGCATATATATTGGCATGATTATTTCGGCACTGCTTTTCTTATGACAGGAAGATTTTAAAAAGATTTTCCCTATATATTTACATGTGTTTCCTCCTTCTGTTTCCCCATTTTTTTTTCATCCCAAGGGGTCATGATTGGAAGAAGATAACTGGATTTTGCATTTTCTGCGGATGGTTGTATGGTCATGGTCTTGCTGTCCTTGAAAAGAGGGTTTTTAGAAATTTTATCCTATTTTATTAATATGTTAAATTTTGGTCCCATATTATGGCCCCGCTCTACCCCTGGGGTCATGGGGATGCATATGTAGTAATATTTTTAATCAAGGCATTGGTGTATTTGAGAAGAATATTTATAATTTTTTCCCTATATACAGTTGAACTTTGGTATCTGATATCTCGGATACCATGTATATGCCAAGGTAATTTGAATGTCCCAATAATTTATACTTAAAGTATTTTACCCTCAATACCTCGAATCCTTGGATATCTCGAGCTTTTTTCTCGGGTCAAATTGAGTTCGAGATAACGAGATAGACTGTATTTTACACGTTACACTTTGACCCCCTATTAAAGGCCCACCTTATTCCTGGGGCCATGTTTCAAATAATTATGAATCTGCACTATGTGAGATTACATGATTATTGATATGACTTATCAGGGCTCAATCTGCTGTTCTTGATAAGATTTTAAAATTTATGTCCTGCATATTCCTTTGAAAAGCTGTGATCCCCACTACTGGTATTTTGGCCCAATCCAACTCAAGTGGTCAATTTTCTCTACTTGAAAATGCTTGTTTATTATTATAACTTATCAGGACCCTGCTGTTCTTGAGATTTTTTTTTTTTGTATTTTCTGTGTAAAAAATCAAATGCCTACTGTGTCCCAACCTTTAACCCCTAGGAACTACATACTCGATTAAAATTGAATGAACACAATATTTGTAAGTTTTCACATAAGTTTTATCTTTTTCGCCGAGCAACCTTTAGATGATTAAATAATGCCACCAAATATTCCCTATTTAAAAGATATCTATCCTTGAAAGAGGGCAATGGTGCTTCATTTGAACTTCCTATTACGTGCATTCTCAATTATGGTAAGTTTCATCTTGAGATTAAAGTTCAACTTTACAATCAAGATAATATATATTAAATTATTGATATAAACAAGCGCACACTAGCCCAACAACGTTGGGTTGTAACGACAATCATGACTGAAAGTTTCTCAAAAGAATATCTAATGGGTTCTCCTCTAGAGGACAATAAAATGTGTGAAACCCATGATTTACCTATTAATACAATATGTGAGGACTGTGATAAATTCATTTGTAATAAGTGTGCCAAAACAGATCATAGAGATCACGAATGGAAGAGTCTATCTACAGCAGCGACCGAAAAGAGGAGAGGTCTGCTTAAATATCTAACAAAGATCAAGGAAGAGGATCTGCCTGGAATTGATGAGAAAATAGAGAAGATTTCACAAAAGATCATAGAAAATAATGAACTTTGTGATTCTGAGATTAAAGGGCTACATAAGCATTGTGAAGCACTACTAGCCAGACTGGTAAAAATCTTACAGCGTCATGAAAGAACATTGAAAGACAATCTTGTTAAAAAGAATGATAAATTGAACCAAGAGAAATCTGAGCTGGACAAGAGGAAGAGAGGAATTGTTAACACAGTGGAATTCATGGAGGAGAACAACTGCAAAATGTCCAATTACAGCTTGATTGACAACCACAGAGAACTGACAAAAATGTGTCTGAATTGGAGGTTCATTCCACAAACTGTGAACACTCATTGAGGTTCATTAAAGGTGAAATCAATGTTAACTCAATCGAGCACTTTGTTGGAAAGACATTGGACTTGGATAATATCGATGTAACTCAAATAAACTCATTTCAATATGGAGATAAAACAATACTTTCCTTGGAGACATTCAGTGAAGACCAATGTTACATACATGAATTTGGATCAAAATATATAGAAAAAGTCAATCAGCAAGGCATAGAAGAACATAAATTTAGTATCTCTCCTAATGACATGTGTGTGACTGATAATGGCGATGTTTATTTTACTGAGTTTATTAGCAATTCCATGAGCCGTCTGTCACCATCAAGATCTGTCTCTATAGTCATATATACAGATCCTCTGGTACCAATAGGGATCTGTCAGTCAGTGGATGGTGGACTACTGGTTACCTTGATAGACAGGGAATCAGATAATTACAAATTAGACTCACACAGCAGACGTCTGGTAAGACGCATCAGAATGACAGGTGACGTCCATGAATATGAGTACCAGGAGGACGGTCAGACAAGACTGTTTACATATCCATACAGAGTCACACTGATAAGTAACCGCGATATCTGTGTTGTGAACCGTACAAGTGACTCTTCTGGAGAACTAGTGATTATGTCTCCCTCTGGTCATATAAAGTCTGTGTACCGTGGACGGAGTCTGACAAAGAACTTTGATCCAATTGATGTAGTGTCTGACTCCCTTTGTAACATTCTAGTTACAGACTTTAACAACAAACAGATCCATCTGCTGAGTCCTGACGGCGATTTCCTGAAGTTCTTACTGGCAGACAATGAAGTGTACTGTCCATCCAGATTATCATTGTACAAGTCTACACTGTGGGTGGGATACCGTGAAGGAATTGTCAAAGTATTTCAATACAGGATGTAAACTGTAGTATACATAAATTATCATGGAATTCATTCACATGTATGGGATCATAGGAGGGAATTCCAAGTGTTTAATACAAATCGTAAAATGTATGTATAGAGTGCAAATTTGTTGAATTCGTTTGTATGAAATTGCGAGAGTTTTAAAAAAGATTGTCTTCATCAAGAATCACCAAACTTTACTTTCAATTGATACATCTGTACATGTGTGGTGATGACAAAAAAAATTAGATTCTAAACGTTTACCGTCATTTCAATTTCTGTTTGGTTACTTAATTTTTCTTGCAGCTATATTGTAATATGTTTAGGAAAACATTCTGATCCTTTGGTTGTTCAGCAAAATATCTTACATTCCATGAGAATCATTTAGAATTAATCGAATTATCAATTGGCGTTAAACAGAGTTTAGGTAATTTTCACACCTTAACCACGACAAGGATTTACGGGTGAATTTAGTAACAATGCTTTTGTATTTGATATGTTGATTTAATTGTTTATCTAAGAATGTCAACCTTTCATCTCATCTCTTTGTGTGACACTTGCTTCTTTTTTGTGTTTATTTTGTTTTGCTCAAACTCGAGGAGTTGTTAATCAGTTACAGACGGACAGCCGTGCCGTCAAGACCAAACTGCAGTCGGAAAGAAATACGCAATAAATCTCGGAAATATCTAAAGTTGTTTTGAACATCTTTATTCCTTCCTATAGTAAATCGATTTCGCCTTATCAAAAGCAATAGAAGCATTAGGTTAAGAAGCGACGTAAGCCGAGTTGGAAATACGTTACTTAATTGCTGTGTACTCCTTATTTGAATTTCTAATAATTAAATACATGTAATAAGTAATGGCATGTATAAGGAGTTCTTATATTTTGTTATCAAATTCAAGCTGTATGCGCATCATAAATAAAATTATGTAGTACCCTGATTATTTTTGCATTGTTTTCTGTTTGCGTACGTTGTTTGATTGGTTTAATACTGTGTTGAGATAAGATAATCACTAAATATAATATCAATTTCTAGCATTATTCCAAATAAACATCATAAAACAAGAGAAAGTTTCCTGAAATCTCGATAGACCAGAAAACTCACAGAGTCAAAGAGGCCTCCGTTAAGGCATTGGTGGATTCTGAGAGGGGGGGGGTCCTGGGGTTGGAACCCTTCTTCATTTTTTGCCAAGCAAAGGGAAAAAGAGAGAGAGGTGAGAGAATGAGAGAGATGGATAGAGGAAGAGAGGCGTTTTTATTTATTTATAAGTAAATGGTAAAAAATATTCTGTATATTTCAATATATGATAAGTAATATGCGAGATTCAATTTGATATCAGACTCCGGCAATCTTTAGTTATATACCATTATCGGATCATCTCTTAAATAAGTTATTTAATTATTTATTTGTTTTACGTCTCCTGGTGGGTTTCAGAAAAGTCCAGTTAAAAAAAAATACAAACACAAGTTTCTCAAATTCTCAACAATTTTTGTTTTTGAAATACTGCAAATGAATTCATTTTTATGCCTATGTACAGTTGATTTTGGAATGTGTTTGATTTTATTTTGACTGGAGGGTACTTTTCAAAGAGTTAAGGGACGTAAAACAAAAGATGTAAGTTAACTCGGCCTTAAATAATTTTTCTCTTCCTGCGCGTGTGAATCTATGTTTGAGTGTGGGAGGGGGCATCACCATGGACCTCCCCTTTCAAAAGTTGCTAGATACACCCTTTTAGGACTGTTAAAGGACTAAAAACACCCTTACAAACGGAAATGTGATATGAACCTTTATTTCATTACACCCCCTCTTCCATTATAGTAAAGTTCTTTGCATAGAATTATTTGAAAATGTTACGCAATGATATACACGAGTTATCGCATAACAACAAGTGCAAAGGATATACATTCCTGTGCGAATTTTTCAGGCAAATTCCCCGTAAAATATGGATGGAATCAGGCAGAAACTGGCAGATTCCATGCATTCTTGATGAGAGATGGACTTTTGAAAAGTTATGTCTTGGTACAAGAGGCACCATTTCTACATCAATTGGCAAGTTCAATTTAGCGTGAAATGGCTGGAAAATTGAAACAAAAGTATTAAAGGCCTCTGATTATCAGTTAAAGGTCATTTTAGCTAGGGTGATTGGAAGGAAGTGGGTTCGAGCCCCTGTCGCGACTGCTATTACTATATGTCTATCCTTTTTACATGTAGCTTTAAGATATTTATTTTACTTTATATATAAAAAGGTATATACTTTATGTTCCTCATGTACCATGTTGTATGGTTTGAGCAAATAAACTGATTGATTGATTGATTGACTGACCTAAATTGATAAACATTAGGTAGCAACTATTCCGAGGAAAGGTCTAAATTTGAAACCCTACACCGGTATATTGTGACGTCTCTATTTGAGTGAAAGATTCTCGAACAGGACGTGAAACAGCATACAATCAATTAATCAATCATTTCAGCTAGGCGGTTACAATTGAATATAGTCATAAAGGATGGAGTTCAGTGTGAGTGAAATGGAAAATACCAATGTATTAATGTTAAGACTTTTACACTTATGTCCAGGATGAAACAGTATCTGCTGGTAGGTGTGATAATTAATTTTTGGTACCTGTTTGATAAAATGATTGAAATTCTCTGCAGATATTCTGAGTTTTCTTGAATACATTCTGAGATACGACAAAGACGCACTCAAACTGTTAAGTTTTGTCAAGAGGAAATAAACTGTAATAAGTAATTTGCTCAATTCAGTGTCATGAAATGATGAAAGCATTTCAAACACATTATCAATTTCTTAGACATTTATTTATATACACTCATAAAAAAATGAAAAAGCTTTCATAAATTGTATTTCTATACACTTTAAGATGTTGATCACTGAGGTGTTGTCAATATGCTTGCTCTCAAAAAAGCTAAATTTTCATCTTTAACATTGTAAATCATAACAACTGCTTATCTTGTCGATCTTGGCTTTAGAAACTTTTAGGTCAGATAGTATCATATAATAATAAGGACTTTCCATTTATTAATTCACCATGCATTTTGGTAAGTTTGATAATAATTAGCTGATTTGGGGAAATGTGAAATAATAAGAACATACGTGCATTTATTTTGATCAGAAGTTAACTGAATCATACAACTCAGGTGAGATTGTACGTTTCATATTTTAACTATGTTTGATTTCCAAGCAATAAAATGTCTGTCTTCTTTGTGCTAGTTACTGTGTAACGGTGTCTTAATTATAATGGAAATGTTAATAAGTCCGTTGTAGGGTTCGACATCTCCATTTATTACACAGATATACATATGTTGATTGAAATTGACTATGAAATAATTGGAAAATGACCTGAAAAATTATAATAACAATTATAATAACAATTAAAATAATAAATACATAGCATAAAATATTCTACTATATCTGTATCAATATAGTAATTACAATCTGCATTTAACAGAAACGCTGCATAAATTGATGTAACTCTGTACATGAATAACACATAATTAATTCTCCCTTTCAATAATACGTTTTGAAATATAATAAAACATTTAAACAACAAAATTGATCCATTAATTACTATAATGACAACACAGACTTTACTATTTCAGAATTGTCATGAAATATATAAAAACATTGATATCATACCTATCTATGGGACTGAGCCTCTCTCATTCATCATCATGATCATAGTCAGTAATATGGCTCACAGTATCTCCAGATCATAAACCTACAAATTATCGTAGTTTACTTATAATCATAAAAATACATTGTATTTATATATTTAGAATAAAAACTATTATCAATTAAAAAGATACCTCTTAAATGTTATCTCTCAAATCAGATCCTTACTGTGAAAATGTTATGGAATAAAATTCGGGAGAATTACAGACTTTACAGTTAAATAAAATATTAGAAATATTAGAAATCATATTATAATTAGTATATAAACGTTAGCTAACCTTAGAGAGAAGTATCGTATCGTCAATGTCAAAAAGTCATAAATACACAACTTGGTATATAAACCATAAACCCTTCCTGCTCAAAGACTGGAAAAAGAATGAGGATAACAAACAACAACTTTCGGAGGGAAAAATACTGAACCAATAAAACACAACCTTACAAAGTTCAAACCAATGAAAATACTTCCAGCCAAAGACCAGAACCTTCATAACCCAAGGCAATAATACTTACGTCCAGGTACAGCCTGTTCTACTGGATTGATCTTTAAAGATTTAATAGCAATTCATTTATTAACAAATTAAAAGCATATGAAGTATATAATAGATTTATTAAATAAATTAATAAATCTAACACTATAACAATTGTATCACTGAAAACGACAAAAAAAGGAAAATGGTTTAATGTGTTTAAATGTATTTAATATCATTCATAGAAAAAATAATCAATAAATGCCATAATCTGAGGACTATGGTAAAGCCCCACTAAAACAAAGTCTCACTTTGACAGAGGTTTCTTTTTCTTTTTTTTTTTTTCTTTTTTTTTTTTTTGCTCTCTTAATTGTAAATGATAGCAACTGTCAAATCAAAATAGGTCTTATTCAAAATTGCCTAGCCATTACTTTCAAGGCTAATTTGGTTTAAAGTTATATAAATTTATTTGGTGCTGCATAATATAATATTTTAATTTTTGTATCTCAACAACAGATTGCAGAGTGTCATGTTTCTTTAATGTGACAGTCTTACATTCTAAAAATAAAAAAAGGATTAGCGTTTAGATGTTTTATTATGCTGTAACATTGTAGCATTGTCTATTATCTTCGCCCTATAACTATAGTCCTGCTGGACACGTTATTACTGGTGACGTAAATATCGTTAATAATGAGGACCTTAGATCACTAATTTTAAAAGGTCCTAAATATAGGGAACCCCGATCCTTCAACTGGCGTCGAAATTTCATAAATATTGTGGATTCTGTAGAGGATTACGCCAGGCGATGGGCCAGACAGAAGACTTTGACACTTTGTCAGAATGGATTAAATGTATCAGATGTATGTTAAAATCGCGCATTAAAAGATTGGGGGGCAATATGAGAACCATTATCCTTCTGTATTCAATAATCCAGAAGTGAAAAAAGAATTAGATAGATTACATGATCAGTACGTACTGCTCCCTGCTCCCTGTAAGGCTCATTATATTAAATGTATTTTAGAGGAACTTGGATTTAATTCTACAAGTGGTAATCCAACTTATACTCATAGTTCCCTTTCTAAGGAAGAAATTCTTCAAAATCATATGTCAGTTTTGAATATTTTTAATATTCCAAATAACCAAAATGAATTTGAATTACCATATTTATATTGGATTCCGAAACTTCATAAAAATCCTTACAAACAAAGATACATAGCGGGTTCCAGTAAATGTTCAACCAAGCCTCTTTCTTTACTCCTCACTAAGATATTAACAGTAGTGAAAGAGAAACTTCAAGAGTACTGTGCAACAATATATTCGAGAAGTGGTGTAAATCAGATGTGGATACTTAAAAATTCCAAGGAACTTTTGGAAAGTTTGAAATCACAAGATTTTACCAAAATCAACAGCTTAAAAACTTACGACTTTCCAACTTTATACACAACCATTCCCCACGATAAATTAAAGTCCAGGCTTTTTGATATCATTGACAGCTGCTTTTTCAATAAAATTGGAACTCGTAAATATACTTACCTTGTCATTGGTCATTTGCAAAATTATTTCGTTAAAAAACATTCTGATTGTACACACAAGTACTCTGAAGTTGACATTAAAAAGATGCTTGAGTTTCTGATTGACAATATCTATGTGGTTTATGGAGACCAGGTCTTCCAACAATCTATTGGAATTTCCATGGGTACCAATTGCGCCCCGTTATTAGCAGACCTTTTTTTGTATTCATATGAAGCAGAATTTGTCCAAAATCTTGTACGTGAAAAGAAGAAAACACTTGCTGTGGCCTTCAACTCGACATTTAGATATATCACGACGTATTGTCAATTAACAATGGCTATTTCCATTCTTATGTCAATACGATATATCCTTGTGAGTTTGAGATAAAAGATACCACAGAGTCTGACACATCTGTTTCATATTTGGATATTTTACTTGAAAAAGATGTTAATGGTAATCTAATAACCAAGCTTTATGATAAACGTGATGGCTTTAACTTTTCAATCGTCAACTTCCCTTACTTATGCAGCAATATACCTTCATCACCTGCATACGGGGTGTATATCTCTCAGTTGATTCGATACGCAAGAGCATGCTCTACGTATGTACAATTTCTAAAACGAGGTAAATTATTGACAAACAAGTTGATGAAACAAGAATATCAGCTGTCTCGTTTAAAGTCATCATTTCGTAAGTTCTATGGTCGATACAATGACCTTGTCAGCAAATACAATTTATCATTGAGTCAAATGCTGACTGACGTTTTTCATACAAATTGTTAGGCCATTATTTTCACACTGAATTGTCGACGGATTTTTCAGTTATTTCTCGATCATGACAAAGAGCACACAGCGGGTGTGACCGGTCGACAGGGGATGCTCACTCTTCCATGGCACCTGATCCCACCTCTGATGTTTGGAGTTCCGTGTTTGCTCTGCTCCTATTTTGTATTGTTTGATGGACTTTTGAGCCTGAATACTGTTCGTTATCTTCATATATTTCATTCATAAAAACATACAATTAAAAAAATGCAGATGGGCATTTGTAGAACTCTCTAACACAATCTGTTAAGAAATACATGATGTATTATTTGTTCTAATTTAAGATGATTTTCTTTCTTGCACTCTAATCTGACATGACAATTGAACAATATCTGAGGAGCGTATCATGTAAAATGGCGATGCATATTGACTTTAATAATATATAGAGATAACATTAAAGAGACTTACGATAGATTTAAATAGATAGACATAGAGAGTTCTAGAATAGTAGATGTATTGTTTGCGGTAATATGTAAGATTATTTCATTCATATGAGACATCACCAGTTTTCAAAACAGGGCTTCAAAAGTAGACCTTTATACTCAGCACTCAGGGACTTTGATCAGCGAGTCTTGTTTAGTAGGTCAATGTCTGCCTTAGTCTCATCTAAAAGAGGCACTATTTCACTTCAAAGTGCAAGAGATTGGCAAAGCAATAGTTGCTACCTATTTTATATTGAATTCAGGTTCGCCATGGTAAAGCTTGAACCCATAACCTTCCAGTCAAGGAACCCAACCAAAGGGCCATGATTTGTAAAAAAGAATTCACTTCGTATACATGAGGTTGCTTGCTTATTAATATAACTAACCGTGACGTGTAAAAATATGCATCGAACCCTTTAAAACCAGGGGATGTGGACGGACTGATTAAAATTGATATGTCAGCAATGTCTGTAAGCTAGATTTCAAATAATATTCATTTGTATAGCTTAGTGGCCTTTGGAAAGATTTTACCTGATGCCACCTAAGCTCCTTGAAAGAAGGCAGTTATGCCCTTGCTTCATTTGTACAAATCTTCATTTCCTATTATATGTCCATTATTTATTATTGCAAGTTTGCTAGAAATTTACCCTATCAAGAATTGTTCTGGAGAAGAAAAAACTACAGACTTTCCATAATATAAATTCAGAAATGACTTAAACCATTTTCAACATCAGAAGAACTGTATTTGTATAACGTATTTTATGTTCAATTTTATATGTTATGTTGATATCAAAGTAAACACCTGTATATTCATTGTATATCTAGCTGTCAATTGATAAACTTTGATAAAGTCCAACTTCAGAATCCGGGTATAGTTATCTAACACGCATGTACACACTAGCATACTTAATACTAGGTCATTACCAACTTGGCTTTACCTGACAATCATGGCTAAATGTAACTCGGAAAAACTACCACGGAGCTCTTCTCTAGCACACATTCTGATATGTGAATCCCATGAATTACCGATTGATATCATATGTGAGGACTGTGATAAATTCATTTGTGCCAAGTGTGCCAAAACATATCATAGAGATCATGATTGGAAAACTCTGCCCACGGCGGCCGCCCAAAGGAGAAGAGATCTACATAAATTTCTGAAGAAGATCAAGGAAGTAGATCTGCCTGGAATTGATGCAAAAATATCAAAACAAATCAAAGAAAATAAGCAAATGTGCGATTCTGAGATTAAAAAGCTTCGGAAACATTGTGAAGAGGTAATGGCCAGGTTGACAGAAATCAAAAAACGTCATGAAAAAACACTGAGAGAGAATTTGGTTAAAAAGAATGATCAATTGAGCCATGTGAAATCTGAGTTAGACAAGAAGAAGAAAGGAATAGTTAAGACAGTGGAGTTCATGGAGGATAACAACAGCACCATGTCAGATTACAGTCTGATTGATAAACAAAGAGAACTGACAAAAATGCTGTCTGAATTGGAGGTTCATATGGCAAACTGTGAACATTCAGTGAGGTTCACTAGAGGGGAAATCAAGTACGACATACTTAAGTATTTGGTTGGAAGAACTTTGGATTTAGATGATATTGGTGCGACTCAAATAAATTCATTTCAATAGGGAAATAAAACAATATATTCCTTGGAGATATTAAGTGAAGACCAATGCTACATAAATGAATTGAATTCAAAATATATAGAAAAAGTCAATCAGCAAGGCTTTAAAGAACATAAATTTAGTATTGATCCTAATGACATGTGTGTGACTGATAACGGTGATGTTTATTTCACTGACTTTAGTAACAATTCCATCAGCTGTCTGTCACCATCAGGATCTCTCTCTACAGTCGTCAGTACAGATCCACTGGTACCGGGAGGAATCTGTCACTCAGTGGACGGTGGATTACTGTTAACCTTGAGAGACATAGATTCAGATCATTACAAATTAAACTCACACAGTAGACGTCTGGTAAGACATATCACAGTGACAGGCGATGTCATCCTTGAGTATGAGTACCAGGAGGACGGTCAGACCAGACTGTTTACATTACCAGGCAGAGTCGCACAGAACAGAAACAGTGATATCTGTGTTTTGAACAGTACAAGTGACACTACAGGTGATCTAGTGATTATGTCTCCCTCTGGTCGTATGAAGTCTGCATACCGTGGACAGAACTTGACAGAGGACTTTTATCCAACTGCTGTAGTGTGTGACTCCCTCTGTAATATCCTTGTCACTGATCATAACAATAAACAGATCCATCTGCTGAGTCCTGATGGGGAGTTCCTGAAGTTCATCCTGACAGAAAATGAAGTGAACGGTCCATCCATAATATCATTGTACAAGTCTACACTATGGGTGGGATATTGGGAAGGACTTGTCAAAGTTTTTAAAATACGGAATGTAAAATTTATATACATAATTTTTTTATGGAATTCATTCACGTAGAAGGGCATGCATATCAAAGTGTTTAAATACAAATTGTAAAATGTATATATAGAAATTGATTGAATTCATTTGTATGAAGGTACGAGTATAAGAATTGTCTTCATAAAGAATCATCAAACTTTACTTTGATACCACTGCACAGGTGAAAGTTCTAATATCTTTTAAAATCAAAATCCTACTTATTCACAGCATAACCAGAATTATACACTGTGCTGATTTTTCTAACATAGGATTTCAGTTTGTGAACGTTATGTTTGTTTCATATGGTTTAAATACCGTATAAAGACATAATGATCACTGTTATCACTGGGATTTTAAATAAACATCATTGAACGAAAACAAGATTCTTGAAATCTGGATAGACTAGAAAACTAACTCCGTCAGAAAGGGGTCCGCTGAGTACCGCTAAAAGACTAAGAAAACATCAATAGTTACATATATGTACGAACAGACAGTGATATGATCTTGAACTCTATATGTTCTTGCTCTTATAGTGAATTACTGTGAGTAACTTGTGTATAAAAATTGAAAACCTTCCATTGAAAACTGTTTGAGTTAAAGAATCACAATAAAAGTGCTTGAGACAGTCACGACGAATGGACGCGTCCCAAAGTCTACAGATGCCCTCCTCTTAAAGCAGGGACGTAAAACAACATACAATCAAACAATCAATTAATCCTCTTATAGCAAATTACTTATGTACAAAATTTGAACAGATTTCCTTGAAAATTGAGTTTTAGCGTCACACGAACACTGGAATTATTGCTCCTTTGTGGTCCCATATCCCCTGGAGTCATGATTTGAACAAACTTGAATTTTCACTATCTGAGGATACTTCCATATAAATATGACTAATCAGGAATTTGCTCTTCTTGTACATGATTTTATTGCTTGAAAATCAAATGCAGTTAAAACATGAAATGTTTTAGCTCGATCACCTGAGTCATATGATTAAATTAACCTCTGATCAAAGTATATGCACCAGGCGCGGATCCGGGAATTTTTTCCAGGGGGTGGGGGGTTCCATGGTTTAATATACTTTAATGTATTTAATATCATTCATAGAAATAACAATAAATAAATGCCATAATCTGAGGACTCAATAGTAAAGCCCCTCTGTAACAAAGTCTCACTCTGATTATCTTTACATCAGGTGACCTTGAAATTAATGTGTAAGGTTGTATAGATAAACGCCATCAAAGGTTGGAGAATAATGGTGTGTGAATCAATAGTTAATGAGAAATGTTGCAGATGAAACAGTCATTAAATAGCAGATGTGCTACAATGTATGCCATTGATATTAGTTAGTTGCATATATAAATGGAAGACATTTATCAGCTTTGCTAAGATTGAATGATTGACTTTGGGCTACATTATCATTGAAATGAAAATTTACAGCCAACAAAAATATGTTTGAAAAGTATAAAAATATAAATCATACTTAATACTTACATGTACGAGTATATTTCAAACTTAAATTTATATTTTAAAAAATACATTATATGAATGGTATCCTAAACATTGCATGTGATCTTTTTCAAAATATATGAGAGAGACCTCTGATGTATGCAGACTGCACCATGCAACAGTACTGAAATAATAAGTGTCGAATGGGAAATGAGAAAAAGTATCTAATGCGATTAGTGAAGAATCGTCGCTTGATGGTGTGGACATGAATTGCTTCTAGATGAATTGGTTGAATATTACATAGAAACTCTCACAACTTCCTTTCAGTGGTTAGCTTCACACTGAAAAAACACACATAATAAATTCAATTTAAAAGAGACATGGGGTTTCATCATTAATGCAGCCATTAATGAGGAATCTACATTATAGTTACCTAGGAGTTGTCTGTTAAAGTGTGGGGAATCTCTTCAAAAAAAGAAATCAGGCACTAATCCTCGACGGTCATTGATCTATAAATAGACCACCAATTTTATATCTATTTTATACTACTACCTACTTCATACACTCCCACAAACTGTCAAAAAAAGAAATTATCACAAAACCGCCCTTCAATTTCTAGATATACATATACATGTATTACAAAATCACATTGACAGACAAAGAGGAAAAGTTTTTTTAAAGACACATATATTTGATGTTATGTATTTCATTTCAATATTTGCTTTCCCACAAATGCAACGCTTACTATGATGTCAAATGTGTTTGTTCATATTTTGTACAAATTGAGCGGGAAAAAAAGAATAAAAATGCAAGTGATAAAAATGTTAATATCAATATTATTTTAAACAATAAAATAAACTTTTTTCATTAGTTGTTTCATACCAGTTGCTAGGCCTTTGTTTTCGTTCTAAATTTGACCATGCAATTCTCCTTCTACTTGATCAATAGATAGGGCTCACGGCGGTTGTGAATGTCAACAGGGGATGCTTACTCCTCCTAGGCACCTGATCCCACTTTCAGAATTTCTAGGTGTCCGTGTTTATTCCCTGTTCACATATTTGTATTGTTTGTAGTTTTTATGAGATCAATCAATGTTCGTTATCATCATATTTTTCATTTTTCTTTCCTTAAACGCGTAAGTTTTTTTTCTTTACACCATATACCCTGGAATACTGCAAAGCTAGGAAATACATTTTGGCACAGTTTCTATTGTATCCGCTAACAAACGAGATTGAAGGTAAATGACCTTCAATTAAAAGCAATTTTGTCAAAATAAGTACAATCCCACGTGTTAAGGGTAATGAAACAGATGGAATAGTGATCAATTTTAAACAAAAACAAATTTTCTTATCAAATATAAGGATTCCACTCAGATATATATAGATTAATCAATCACTTATGAATAAGAAATTGATGACAGGACTTTTCACATTCAAAAATGACTTTCAAAATAATGAAAAACTCTAATTCTTTCTGTTCAAATAACAACCTCGTGTTAATGTTGTAATAAATTATATTTCCACTTCATTGCGTCTATTTAGTCTTATGTTGAAGAATTTAAAATCTGACTTCACAATCTTCCGGCTATTTAACATGCACACAGACAGCTAGGTCATAAGCAGGAAGCAAACAAAAAACATGGCTGAATGTAATTCAAAGGAATATTCCTTGGGTTCTCCTCTAGTGTACATTGAAATTTGTAAATCCATGAATCACCTATTGATATGATATGTGAGGACTGTGATAAATTCATTTGTGAAAGATTTGCCAAAACAGGTCATAAAGATCATAATTGGAGAACAATACCCACGGCAGCCACCCACAGGAGAAGAATTTTGTTCACATTTCTGAAGAAAATCAAGGAAGAGGAACTGTTCGGAATTAATGGGAAGGTAGAGAAGATATCAAAACAAATCACAGAAAATAAAGAAATGTGTGACTCGGAGATTAAAAAGCTTCAGAAACATTATGATGATATTATGGCCAGTCTGGCAGCAATCAAAAAACGCCATGAACAAACATAAGTATACAATATGGTCAAAAAGAATGATAAACTGAACCATGAAATTTCTGAGTTAGAAAAGAAAAGGAGAAGAATCGTTGACTCGGTAGAATTCATTGAGGAGAACCACAGCACCATATTAGATTACGGATTGATAAACAACCTCAGGGAACTGACAAAAATGCTGTCTGAATTGGAGGTTCATATGACAAACCGTGAACATTCAGTGAGGTTCATTAGAGGTAAAATCAATGATGATTTACTCGAGACCTTGCTAGGCAGAACTTTGGATTTAGATGATATTAGTGTGACTCAAATAAGCTCATTTCATTATGGGGATAATATAATACATGTGTTGGAGTCATTCTGTGAAGACAGATGTTACATAGAGGATAGTAAATCAAAATATACAGAAGAAATTGACAAGAATGCATGGTGCAATAAAACGTAACTTTCGTATCACTCCTACCGACATGTGTGTGACTGATAGCAGTGATGTGTATCTCACTAATGATAAAAACATGTCCATTCGCTGTGTGACTCCATCAGGATCTGTCTCTACAGTCGTTAGTACAGATCCACTGGAACCAGGAGGAATCTGTCAGTGAGTGGACGGAGGACTTCTGGTCAGCTTGAAAGACAAGAAATCTGGTCTCTACAACTTAAACGTGCACAGCAGACGTCTGGTGAGACACATCACAGTGAGAGGTGATATCATCAATGAGTAGGAGTACCAGGAGGATGGTCAGAGCAGACTGTTTACATTTCCAAACAGAGTCACACAAAACAGTAACAATGATATCTGTGTAGCTAATGGAACAAGTCCAACCACTGGTGATCTAGTGATTATATCTACCTCTGGTCGTTTGAAGTCTTTATATCGTGGACAAAAGTTGATGAAGAACTTTTGGCCAACTGATGTAGTGTGTGACTCCCTCTGTAACATCCTTGTTGCTGACTTCTATAACAAACAGATCCATCTGCTGAGTCCTGACGTTGAATTCTTGAAGTTCTTACTAACGGAGAACGAAGATAACCTTCCATTCTCACTGTCCCTATACAAGTCTACATTGTGGGTAGCATATAGAGAAGAACTTGTCGGAGTGTTTTCTTACAAAATGTAAAATATAATAAATTCTGAATGAATTTATTCATTTGAAATAACAATTGATGGAAGAATGTCTTCAGCCATATTTTCATATTGTGATTCCATACATGTACATGAGTTTCTCATTTTGCTAGTAATTAAACCAGAAGTAACTCTGCTTATAGTTGCTTCAATTACATTTTGTTTTGGTTTATAAAATGTTTATTCTTTATTATGTAAAAAGATGTATTGATCACTATCATAAAAATCGCAGCATTTTCAAAGTAAACTTTAGATCTGAACAGGAAGTACAATATTTGAATCCTTGCAGATACGGACAAACTAAATCATGTTTGTATGGTAAATGTCAAGAAGTTAAAGAGAAGAGAAATATTATTAATATGTTATTGATATGAAGTAATATAGATACGCATTAGAAAGGAAAAAATTAATAGAGCTAGGTTTCAATTTTTTTTAAAAAAAAATGTTTTACAAACAACAATGAGAATAGGTAAACTGGGGTTTGTTAATTTTTCATGAAGTTTAACGCCAGGAAGCATGATACACCCGACAAATATTGTTTATTTGTCACAAATATATGAGAGTGCACGGAACATAATCATCTCAGCCTTGTTACACAGATTTCAATGATTTATTTGTTACTTAAGTGTGATGTGCAACCTATGCTGTAGCTGTTAATTAGGACAAATAATATAAATGTCATGCTTTTCTTTGCTGGTCTCGCTGAA